ATATATATATAAATAGGTGTTATCCCAGTTTGGATGCAAAAGTGGAAATACACATTAAAGCTCATTCAGCAATCAAGAACAGCATGGAGGTGCAGCATCATAAAGCCCAAAATATCATGGCCAGTGGTAGTGCTGTGTGCTCGATCTGCCAGATGTCTATATATCCACTGCGATGGGCCCGCTCAACAATGGTATACATGCAGCATCCTCGATTGCCTGGATGCACTTTGGGTAAACTTGTATGAGTGCTTATCAGTCATGATAGATGACCATTTGCCTATTTATGCCTCCTCCGCTGGGTCAGTTGTGTGTGTTAAATGATCAAGAGTTTATTTTCTCCCAGTGTAATAGCGAAGGTAAAACACAAGCTAGTACACAGAGGAGAGGGGGCAGTGGCCATAGTGCTCTGCTGCAGTCCCCCATAAATCAAGCTTTTGTCTGGAGTGGAGCTGACAACCAGCTCAAACAGACATAAACAGGTGCTTTTATTACATGACATGGCCAGAGATCAAAAACAGGACCATGCACTACATGCATTGCCTGCGCAGCCCACTCCCCCTCCCGCCCCTGAATGCAGGTGTTTTTTCGTTGGTAGATCTCAATGAGCTTGTCATTTGAAAAGTAGATCTCCAGATGAAAAATAGTGGGCGCCCCTGGTTTAGGGGATTAAACAACAATTTTGAAGTTGTGGTGATACCTATAATTATTATTATTATTACATAGTATTTATATAGCGCCAACAGTTACAATATAAGGAAAACGTTACAATCACAATACAATTCAAGACAAGATGGTAAGGAGGGCCCTGCCCCTAATAAACCTTATAATAATAATAAATAATAAACCTTCACCTGCAGTTGTTGTCTTGTGTTTTTATGTACTGTATGCTTGGGTGCTGAAGCATTAAAAAAGTACTAGCATGAAAATATTTTGTGTGGTATCATTGTTGAGCTTTCCTCAGTTGAAACAGTGTACAAAAACTCTTTCTAGATGAGCACTGTCCATTAGTTTACAGCTTCCTTGTCTCCTCATGTTTGAGCTCATACTCATGAGTGATGCATGAGGTCTCATACATTAACATGTAGATCATTATTCTCTATGATGAAGATGTGAGAGTACTTACTGCTCTGTACTGAACACACCTAAAATAGTAGTAACATATTCACCATTTATAAAAAATGTCAGCTAATACTAACCCCAGGAAGGCCATACACTTATGAGCATGAACTTTCAACTGATTTAGCCTTATTGGCAGCATACTATGCCAAGAGACATTATGATCATATACTGTATATTTTTATATATAGTTGTACTTTCATATTCCTTTTTATGGAAATTGCTGGAATATTAATACCATAGCAAGTCCACAATTTACAATATTACATCCTTGACAGGCTAGCCCTTATAAAAACAGCCTGTTCATACTTTATTGTATGCATGTAGTATACTTATATGTGTGTGAAATGAATTGTCTTTTTTAACTATAGTGTAAATGTTGAGTTTTTTTAAATAAAATTATCTTGCAATACAAGAACTTGAAATGATCACCAAAAATAATATATTTCATTTGCTTTAAAGTTACTAGGCATCAATATACTTTTCAAGAGTAGTAAAATACAATGACAATGTTTTGCTAAGGTGGCAGCTAAAACTGTAAAATCAACTAACTTCTTGTCTGCCATGGTGGAAGGCATTTAATCTTGCTATGAATTGATCTGCAATTTGCAAATGCTTTCTGTAGTCTGAGAGATGCTATATTAATTTGATTTACCTAGTTTCAAACATCTGTATTTTACTCTCTTATCTGCTTTTAACTAAGGTATAGTAGATGCATTTTGCTTTAGTACTAATTCAAGGTGTAAAATTCATTTCTTTAAAGAAACATTTTTGTTGTTGTGCATGCCTAGTGTTTTATATGTTGTATATTGCATTCAGAATATTTTTTTCCTTCTCACCTATCCACAATGCAATGCCGTTCCCATGATGCACCTCTGCTTGCTGTTTACCTGTATGTTAATTCGCTTGAATCCCATTGGCCCACTGCCATCATGTGCTCGCTGCCTGTTATTAAAAGACGCAGTCGACTGCCAAAGCAATGAAGCGACCTCTCGAAGCAACTGTAGATCTGGTACTTTGACCTTTCACCTTTTGCTTTGCATGTAGCTTTTTTTTTCAATTAAGCAACTAATATTTTTGTTATTGCTTTTTTAACATCATCTGAGACAACCAATGCATACAATTAATGTATAGGAGCTATCAAAGTTATTAGTCATCTTCATTTTCTCCATATGTTAAAAAAAAAAAATGTTTTTTACATTGGTAATACAACTTCATTTTGAAGTACTTGTATACAAGATAGATGTAAGAAAGACTGCCTATGTTGTTATTGTCCAAGTCTTAAATGAACATTTTTGTCACATTAGGAAGTAATAGATTAATAGTGAATGTTTTTAAATGGCATCCTCTAGCATATGCACCCATATGTGTCCATATACACTATTATATTTGAAATGAGGAATGCAGCCTGATTTATACAGATGCTATAATGATTGTAATGTATTTCATTTCTGTAGTCTTGACTTGACTACAGCCTTATTTTTAAAGAAACCATGCTTTTGCTACCAATAACCAAATCTCACTCATTCTGCATTGCCTCAGTTTGAGTTAAGGTGCATGGCAAGGCATCTTTATTTTAATTGATATTTTTCTTTTTAAATTTTATCACAATACATATTTTTATGTGTGTATTTCAATGTGTGTGAAAACATTCTGATTCCTACAAGTATGATTTAATTCTTTGTTAACAGGCTTTTCCACCTGGTGTCCTTCACTCTTTACCAAAGAGACAAGCTCTAGAAAAAAGCAATGGTGCCAGCGCACTTTTTAACCCTAGTGTCTTGCACTATCAACAGGCTCTGGCCAACGCGCAGTTGCAGCAGCCTGCAGCATTTTTCCCAGCAGGTATGTCTTAAAATCTTCGTAGAAGAGAATACACCTAGCACATATTTTTGCTTGATTACTGATTGTATGCTGTCAACAATCATTATTTACCTACTCAGTTGATAAACGTCTCTGTTTGCTACTGCATGTGGTTGTAAGTTTTGGTTACTTTCTACCCATCCTATGCACACAGCAGAGGCTGCCATTTTGTACCCTGAACTAATACTCAGGAACAGGGTTTGACAAAGCACATGACCAAAAAATCTGGTAGTACTGGTACTTGTTGCACTTGGTAAGACTCAGGCTTTAGGTGCAGGACTTCTTTGTGGGAGCTTGTGCTCAGTCTAGTGACTCCTGCCAGTGTTAGGTGTTAGCAGAACCCTGTACATCTATAGTTTGCATTAGAAGTGTCTCTTACTATATAGACTTCCGTGTCTATTTTGGAGAGGAAAACATCCTAATTGGATGCTGGCTTTCTGAATAAGAGGGGTGTTGTCCCTCCCTATCACAGAGGTGCTTGCTGATAAATTAAGGGGAAGTGGGAAGGAGTGCGAATTCGTCAATTAGTTCCTAATGGAGAATAAAGAGTGACAGCCATTAGGCCCCATTCACACATGAATCGGTCTACACGTACAGCACCGTGCTGCCTGCAGGGCCGTACCCAGCAGCTGCCGGGAAGGACAGGTGCTGCGTGTGATGAGTACGCAGCCCCTGTCCTTCTCTATGGGGCTATGCAGCCGTACGCCCCTCTACGCTCACCTCAATTGCAGGTCCGTGGGGGTGCGGGTTTTCTGGCCGGGACGCATACAGGATCCATTCCGGTGGCGCACCCCTACGGACCTGCAATTGAGGTGAGCGTAGTGGGGGCGTGCGGCCTCGTAGACCCATAGAGAAGGACGGGGGCTGCGTACTAATCACACGCAGCACCTGTCCTTCCCGGGAGTTGCTTGGTACGGCCCCGCACGCAGCATGGAGCTGTACGTGCAGGCCGATTCGTGTTTGAATGGGGCCTTAATGATAAGGCTTTGTTGTTCTTTAGGCTAGTAGTACCTCTTGATATTACAGGTGCTACAAAGGTTGTGATGGTGGCCGTGGTTAACAAAAGTTTAGGAATTGCATTCAAGAGAACACATTGCAGAAAATCAGAAGAAGCTAGTGATAATGCCAAATCCATATACACATTCACTGTTAGATTTATTTTTACTTCATTACAAAAAATCCCTGACTCAGTTATGTGCAAGTCTCTAGGTAGGCACACTTTCATCTGCAGGATGACTACCCTATGACTCTATGACTTTCTCTAGTTATAAGCAGAATGATGCATGGAAACACAGTCACTCTCCTGACAGCTACCAGTATAATAAGGCTTCAATGTGCTTTTTGTTGTGACTCCATATAGCATGTTGGGAATATATGTAAAGAGTCTCCTTTAATTCTGCCTGATAACAAGTTTTTATTTAACATCCACCGCAAAAATTGTATCTGAGGTTTTTGGTGGAAATCGGCAAATTGAGTCCCTACTAATTTCTACTGCAGCACCAAGGTATTCAGGGTTATCTTGTTTCTTTCTCCATAGTGTACAGTAAGTGAAGAGTGATTTATCTTGGCAGCACTAACCTAAAACTGCAAAAAATAGTTTTGGGTAGACCCACCCTTTTGTATTTGTAAAACAGAATCATTATAGCATTTGATTTTAATGTCTTAAAATTAAGTGCCTGCTCTAGAATGGCAAAAAACATCTGCATCATGGAAACATAATTATGGCGCTACGCATAGTATTGATGTCAATGGCATTTTTTACATTGCATGGTCTTATCTGTGTTTAAACGACTCATTTAAAGTGACAGTAAACTCAGGAGCTAAATCTTAAAAATGCCTTCAAGTACCCTATTAACAAATATGTATCTTATTTGTGTATCACTGAGCTGTAAATCCTCAAATCATCTTTGAATTGCTGCTGACTCTATCCTTCCTTTTGGGGGGTGGCTACTTTTGTTCCCCATGGTCCCTGTGTGTGTTGTAAAGTATTCACCACTCCAAGCCCGCTCCCAGGATGGACTACAATCTCAAGTTTAGTTTACTCATTTATATTGAAGTTATAGTCTATTACAGAAGCCAGAAGGAAGGACAGTGTCAGCACCAATTCAGAGATTATTTGAGAATACACAGCCGAGTGATACACACATAAAATACATTTTTAATCATAGTTAAGGTACTTGAATGTTTTTGTTTTTTTAGATTTAACTCCTGAGTTTAGTTCCACTTTAAACACACTGGAGCAAACTAAGAAAAAAAAATGAAAGCTGAAATCCAGTTGCTGCAGGCAGTCCTAATACTTTTATTTTACAGTAAATCAGCTTTATTTATGCATGATCATATTTCTCAGTTTAATCAGAACCTTACAGCTAAATAGAATTATAGTTGATATACAGTATATGTGAACTGCTTACTTGGCAAAATATCTCTAATACTTTTACGCCAGTCTTAAGCTGCTCAGTAGTCTATGAATTAGCATCACCATGCTGCTTAGGTCCTTACTGTGTTCTCCCCTCCAATGAGCTGTCCGTCTATCTCTCCAGCTCCCACTGCCTTAAAGCTGATGTCCCGGTATTAATTCGTAATAATTAGAGCCAACGTGTGACACTGCGGCTGTCACACCTCGGCTCTATAGATCAAGAACAGAGTGATCACATACCTCTGATCACTCAGTTCACAATCTTCTCCCAGCAGAGAGCGCCGACTGTCAGTCACAGCTCCCCAGAGGGATTCCCCCCTCCCCTGTCTGTTCCTCCAGCGCTGACTGGAGGGACAGACAGGGGAGGGGGCTGGCTCAGCCTGTAGAGAGTCAGAGCCAGCTTTCAATCAGATAACAGGGTGGATCCCTACATTATTGTCAGGATCCGTCCTGGCTGCAGCACGACTCTGCACGGGCAATAGCTGAGTTTTAGGTCACAGGAGGACATTAGTAAATGCCCTCGTTGACCATAAAGAGAACTATGGCCAAAAAAAGGTTTGGCCACAGGTCTCTTTAAACTTACATTTAAGGGCCAATTTAAATCAGATATCACTATTACTATGTCACCCACTGCTGGACACCACAGTATTACTTAACACCGTATTTTAGGTCCCATTTATAAAATACAAGGCTGGGGTAGAGTCTACAGTGCCCTGCAGTATTCTCTCTCTTTAATGATGTGGAGAAATTTTTAGTGATTGCAGGAGAGGTCTTTCACATGAGTTTGACAGGTCATGTCCTCCTGGTGTTTTCTTTTTTTTCTTTTACTAATTTATTTAGTTGAAAAGTGTTCTGCTTCCTTCAGTGTCCCAAAGCAAGCAAAACATCCGGCACATTTGTAAAGCACACTGCAATATTTCAAAAATGTGTAGTGTGTTTTATTTTCTTAAAGCAATGCTAAGGCCATTTCAGCATCAAGAGCTTGCACCAGAAGCTAACAGTGTCAAGCCATCAGAGCTGAGTACTAACATACTACTGTTTTTTTGGTATTAAATGAAATAGTTTCAGAATGACAGATATCCTAGTGTAATCCTTGTCACATTATGTTAGAGATTTTGTGTATGTAGCCTATGGCTGAATACATTGCAGAGCTGTTTTATATTCTAAGGAAGGCAAATGTACTGGCCAGGAACAATTTGTAATTAGGATGTAGCATTCATGTTACTCCCATATGGACAACCATGAAAATGATATAGGTTTGCTCAATTGTCAGATTGTTTTAGACAGTATAGTAACGACAATTTTGGTCCAATAGTCTAGGTATTGGTATTAGCACCTGTGCAGCATACTGCTGCAAATGGTACTTACACCCTTCTTATATAATTGTAATTATCTGCAGTACCTTTAAAACATGAAATAGAACATAAACCTCACAAAACACGGAACTCTAAAAATCAACAAAAAATATAAAGGAGAATTGTTTTTTTCTTCACACATAATTGAATTTCTGAACTGAGTACAGTTTTAACGCTACAGTGCAGAATGTATGTCCTGTCATAAATCAACACATTAGTGCCATTAGGGTCTGTGCACAGCAGGGGTTTGCTCATGAACAGTGTTTAGTTGTGTGAAAATGGCTGATCAGCTTCCTTGATGTGGTTAATGTCCCCCAGGCACTCCTGTAGATATATGTTTACAAACCCAGAATATTGAATTTTTTTAAAAAAACACCTCGGTTTAAAACTGCATACCTAACAAGCACTGTCCCTGGATATTTTTCCATTCAAATAATACAAGCATCATAAAAAAATAGAAGAAAGCTACCAAAGAGCTTGTAGATAGTTAGGATTTGTGTCTTGCTCTGTTCTGCCCTTAAAGCTGAGCTCAAGTGCATTCAGCTGCAATTTAGTAGGAATGTAATGTAATTCAGCCCAACCCTAAAGTTCGGTGCTTCTTGACCCATTTGGTGCCCACTAGCCTAATCTACCCGCAGTGGCATTGCAGATTAAAATTTAAATGGATCATAGACATTACGTGCTGCATATTTGTACAGCTGGGATCCTTTGTTTTACTATGTGTTTCCTGCAGTGGCCATGTGAACATCCTATGAATGACCCTGTGTTTCATCTGTGGCTTAGTTTTGGTTTATGGCAGCAAAACCCAGTTCAGCTGGGAGGAGCAGCACTGAGCAGATGCTTGTCAGTATACGGCCTGAAAGGGATTGACTGACACTAAAGATGCCTGTGTCGCTGCCTTATTTTCACTGCCTTAATTTGGTTTGGAAATGCATTTCTGATTCACAAATCTAGATTGCATGGTTTTAAGCACTGGGTTAGAAATTTTACTTTACTCACATAATCTAAAACATTTGAACACATATAAATAAACCTGCATTGCTGAAAATAAGTTCAGAATGCTTTTTGGACTGTAATGTTACGCAGTACAACTTCATCGCTTGTGCTAGAATACAGTTTTTTTTTTGCCTTTGTTCTAACTCTTGGCCTTTCCTAACCAATAATCCTGCCTGCAAGCAAACTCAAGTCTTATTTCTAGACGATATAAGAATTTGCCTTATGTGATCTCTTGCAAATAACTGACTAAATTGACTCATTTATTTCTGTGTATGTATGTTCTGGGACTGATTTGCTATGCCATGGTCCTTTAGTTAGCTGGAATTTTTTCCCCCTGCAGCTGTTTATTTTAAGAATGTCTTAACAGCTCCTCTGAAAACAATGTGTATTTTCTGTGTGCTTTCCTTCTCTCTAATGCCATTCATCAGTTTCCTCAGCAGTCTTTTAAAAACAATGCATGTTAGTCACACTGGTATGTCATGGGCCAGTGCTAATAATTAGTCACAGGATTTGGAGGCACAGGAACCTTTGGTGCCAGAGAATATAGCCACAAAGCCACCAAAACACACCAAAATCTGGGTACAACCCTAAACATTTAGTGACAAAGGTGCCAATACCGTTAACTTAATCCTAAACCCTAACCTTTAACCTAAGTGCTCCCCTAAACATAAATAAGGCAATCGATAAACCCTTATTTTAACTCCCTGTTAAACTTAATAACCCTAATCCTGAAACAGCACTTTAAAATTAACTGCTAACCCTAAACTTAAAACCAAACCCTTAACCCTGTAACATAATCTTAACCCAACCCAGTGACCTTCACCCTGATCTTAAAGCCCAACACCAGCCAAGACTTTTCTTTTCAGTTTTAAATGGAATTGGGAAGAGTAAATATGTCATTAGATCCCTTACAGGCAGTAATAATAACCCAAGAGCTTCTAGCCCATCTCTATTTTAATAAAAAGAAGTTTTGCTACAGCCTGTGTCCCAACTGGAAATATTTCAATCACTTCCTGTCCCAACAGGAAATGTGGGAAAATCTCTCTAGTAGGTCAAGGACTTAACAATAAAACCCATGTTGGGTAGTAAAACTCAGACTGACAAATTGATTAAATTTGTCACTACCTTCTATCTACAGCGCAGAAAATTGACTGCTAAACAGTTAATTTGGACCAATCTTGAAGAAGTTAGTTCTAGCTTACAACTTGATTTTGTAGATATGCATAAAGTAGAGACCAGATTGATTTAAATAAGCTTATCATTATGGGGTGTATTTATAAAAAATTCGCATGAGCCATTCGTCCTGCAAAACTTTGTGAGTGTTCTTTCTGTGCGAACGGAGGCAAAAACTAACGTTCTTAGTATATTTGCTTTTCAAGTCAAATTAAGTATTAGGAAAATACTGCATTACTGGATGGCCATATTTATTTCCTATGTCCTCAGCTACATCTAGTGGCCATAATGCAGTATTTTCTTGCAATTACATTTGACAATATAAGACAATGAAAATATGCGAAGAACGTTCGTGTTTACAAAGTTTTGCAGGGCGAATGTCTCTACAAATTGTTTAAAAATACACCCCTTTATTTTATTGTTATAAAAACCTTTCTCAAAGGTCATGCAACCTAAATCTACCCCTTTGGTGATCTGAGAAATACAAGTATGCAGGTTGGAACATGCAGCATACTGCTGAGATTATGTATATGGGTATTTGATGTACCTAATGACATAAATCAGGATAAGCTCTGAATATATACATATATACAGTGTGCTGTAATCTCAGCAGTGGTGCAGTTGTGTGTGTGTGTGTGTATATATATATATATATATATATATATATATATATATATATATATATATATATACACACACACACACACACACACACACACACACACAACTGCACCACTATAAGGATGCAGCTGTATCCAATATGCAGAGTATAGCATGTCTGTAGTATACCCAAGTGCATTAGAAATAAGCTACTTGCCTTGATAAGAGTCTCTACTGACAATCCTCTGCTTGCCCACCGCCTGTTTATAGTACTACCAGACACAGAATTTTAAAGAGCATTCACAATGAGCACAATTGTTATCTCCAGAAATATTTACATCAATCACCATAGGGAACAACTGCTTCTATGGTGAACGTATTTGGGCACAGTGACAAGAAATTAGCAAGTAAAAACCCTAACAGACAGAGTAGCATCTGTTATATATTTATGATAAAACAGTATTTAGAGGTAAGTTACAGTCTTTTTTACATTTTTAGAACTATATATTTTGTGTGATGAGCTTGATGTACTGTAGACAATTTCATATACAGTATGTGTGGTCATGTTACCATACAAATGTACATAAAGGTACATGGGGACAGTCATATATACTCATTTAATATGTGCTGTGCTTTCTGTTTAGTAATGCTGTACAGTGATTTTGCTTTAGCTGCACCTCACTAGAAGTCTGTCAGTCTGCTCCAAGTAGTTAAAGCAATACAAGCTCAAGGTGTAATGGCTTTTCAGCAGTAGTAATAAAAGTACTTTTCTGATATAGAGAGGAAATCAGCCAATTCATATTTGACATTTCCCGTGATAATATAGAACACTAAGCAGATACACATATAAAAAAAAAATCACACTACAAATTACTTTTAGGTAAACTTGATAGTATTGAGTCAAATGCATACTACTTAAAACAAAGTACCAATAATGGGGACTGAAAAAGCCATGTAAAATCCAGCTTGAGGAATAACGTTATCTAAGTGTGGCTGTTACATTACCCAGCAGCAGGTGAAGCGATACAAGTTCCTGTATCTCCAAAATGTTTTAAGTGATGTGAAACCATGAATGGCCTTAGTGATGTATGCATTGACTGCTCCCTATCTAGAGCTAAGCTTGAATTTCACTCCAAAGGTTAACTCTGTGTTGCTAACTTGTTTCTTTCCCTTTATTCATTTTCTCCACCTTTCATTGCATGCCGTGCAGGGTCAGTTTTGTGCATGACACCAGCTACCAGTATTGGTAGGTTTCTATCTACTTTTTTGCCTTTTATACTACACAAGTTATCTTTTTGTGGTTTTAAATGTTTTGTAAAATGCTGTAGACACTATGCGGCTATTGTGTGTTCTTGTAGTCCACTACTCTCTGTAGAATATTAAATATCGCCTAGAGCAATGTCTTAAGTCTCTCTTTCTCTCTGGCTTTATGAACGCATATTAAGTTGAGAAAAGTATAGTGTTTTTACTATTATTTATGTGTCTTGAATTTAATGAAAACTGAAGTGTAAGTAATATCATCTGTGTCTTAACGTCATAGTGTTGTGCTTTTTTTTTTTTTTCTCCTTTTTGCTATGTTTAGAATATTGCATCAGAGTTTCCCAGAAATCACTGCTACTAAACCATGAGACTGAATTTGTGTCAGCAGGCAGCAGAATGACAAAATGAATGGAGGGGGCTTAATAGCTAAACAATTAAATCAAAGCCTAAAACATGCTTTGATTGCAGAATCTATCATGCAAATTTATATTTATTATTAACTTTAGATAGATATCAAAAGCTATATTTATATAGCTCTTGATGATTTACCAGATTGTTTTCACACAATAATTGTTATTATTGATTACAGGTTTTTATATAGCGCCAACAATTTACACAGCACTTTATATGCTGTACATTTACATCGGTCGCTGCCCTCAATCTAACATACATACAAACACATATTAGGGCCAATTTAGACAGGAGCCAATTAACCTACCAGCATGTCTTTGGAGTGTGGGAGGGAACCCATGCAAGCATAGAAAGAATATGCAACCTCCATGCAGATCGTTTCCTGACTGAGATTCAAACCAGGGACCCCAGTTGTGCAGGGCTAACCATGACGCTATTGTGCTGCCCAGTTAGGGACTCTTTTAAAGGGTCTAAAATATATGGCTTCAAACCTTTGTAAGGGGCAGCCATTTTTACTCCTAGCCTGTACACTGGATCCATTGCATTGAATCAGAGTTCATTAGGTTATACTGTAAGTGATGTCATTGCACTGAAGCTAGTATAGAGTGCCAGTATTTCCAATCACATTCTGTACCAGAGACAATGGTCACCAGGATAAATGGAGCAGAAACACAAACAGAAATAAAAACATGGCTGGGGTTTTAACACTTCCCCTGCTCTATCTATTTTTTTTTATTTTTTTTTTAATGCTCTTGCCTGTGTGACAACCTCAACATCCAATTGATGTGCATTATAGTTGTAGACTATGGGTGGCTTATCTCTAAGCTACAGAAGATATTGCCTTTGTATACAGCCAGGCACATAATAGAATCCGAAGATTAGTAGAGGTACTAGCAGACACCACCCGATGTTAGCTAGGGTGTTAGGGTTTGGGTTTTCACTTTAAAAACTACAGCTTTACTTTAAGGTTGGGGAATAGCAATATGTGTTGCAAAGGTAAGTATGGGTTAAGTTCACTCCAGCTTCTGTCACACACCCCCTAAAGGGAAATAGTTTCAGGTGGTCAGCAGGACAACTTGGATTCATTTCTCCAGCGAGGACCCAGACAACAAAACTAACAAAAAAAGTTTCATTTGAGATACCCTAAGGGTCTATTTATAAATAGTTTTCACTCAAGATTCACACCGTTTTCACCCAGGATTTGCACATTTCAATTGCGTCCAGTTAGAAAAATGCGTGAATCTGGGAAAATTGTGTTACTCTTGAGTAAAAACATTTATAGCCAAACCCCTTTATATCTTTAGACACATACCATAAGTTAACAATAAAATGGACATACAAGAGGACAACACTCACAAATAATGGATACAGTTGGTTATTCTACAACTTGCCAGTCCCAATTTCCTTTTTTCTAAGAAGAAAAAAAACCTTTAAGCTGCCTGCTTTGTTAATTAGCTTTTTTTCTGGGAATATCTGATAATATATTTTTACAAACTTCCTTTAATTGTACCTGGTAATAAGCTTATTTTCCCTTTTTTATTTCTCTCCCACGCTTCCTTGCTTTGCATTGTGATTGCATGCCATCTGCTGGTTTAACCCATGATGGCTTGCTGCTATGTGATATTCACCATGCCAAAACCACTTCTATCACCATAATGCTACACCCTCCTGTTCATTGCTTCCATGGTTCCCCTCCTGAAAGTACCCATGATGCACAGCGCTACGTCTGCCACTGTCTCTGCAGCAACAACTCCTGCAACAAGTGTCCCCTTCGCCGCAACAGCCTCAGCCAATCAGGTTTGCTCCTTTTAAAGCTTTCTTTCACAAATCCCAAACTCTAAATGAGTGCCAATATGTTAAAAAAAATTCTCCGCAGAATTTTTTTTATGTGTCTACCCATCAAATTTTTATTTTGTTTAGTACTATTCAGAAATGTGTTCATGACCAGGTTGCACTTATTCAGAGTTGACATTTTTTCAAGTATTGGTCTTTCTGTTTTGTGTTTCTTGAATGTTTTTGTAAATAATAACAGTCCTGTTAACAGGAATATTATTTTAAAAAAATTGTCTGTTTACAGAATCTTAAGCAAAACAAGATCACCAAAGTTATTATTGCAGAATATTCATGTTCTGGTACTTTGCAGCTTTTGATAATTAAACAGTACAAGAAATTATTAGCTAACATGGCTTAGATATTCTACACATAATTAATCTCAGATCCAATCAAGTAGTCACTGTGAACACAAAGGAATCTTGGCTCTAGCATTGTGTAAGACAGAAGTATTTGCAAATGTTCAAATAATGTAGCTAACACATCTCTCACCTTTTTCTTTTATCAAGTACATTATTATTCAGCTTCAAAGATTTGGATTGCTACTTTACTTTAAAAATGTACTAAATGTACAACAGACTGCAGTGTTAGAGTATATTAATTATTCCTTTTTTGATTCAGTTTAATTTATGTGCAAGTACAGTTATTAACAGTAACATGTAGTACACTCTTGTTGTCAGAAGGTGTCAGTAAAGGTAATTTCGTGTCTGTATACTGGCAAGTCAACAACTACCCTTTACTAACAGCAATAGCAGCATTAATTCATGCAAATCCTAAGGACATTTTCTCTGATATGTCGTAGAGAAATTAAATAGCTCATTAAAAATGATGAATGTAACTTGGATTTGGATTGGCCAAATTATTATTGTGAATAGGAAGTTCATCACAGTGCTATGACATCACATACTGAAGTGCTGGTTTAAAGGAGAACTATGAGGTGAGTGAAAATCACTCAACCTCATAGTTTGAGCCGACCAGTGACAGTGAAACTGTCACACGCCGGTTCAATAGATCGGGAAGTGAGCGAACACATACTTGCATTCTCGTACATTACATTACATTACATTACATCACATACATTCTCGATCATGTCCCTGCAGAGAGACGTGACTGTCACTCGCGGCTCCCTGCAGGGATTCCTCCCCTGTCCGATCCTCCAGTGCTGACTGACCGAACGGACGGGGGAGGGGGCAGGTACAGCTGGCTCTGCCTCTAGATAGGCAGAGCCCGCTGTCAATCACGCAGCTGGGTGGATCTCGACAGTAATGTCGGGATCCATCCCGGCTGCGCCGGTCTCAGTATACCGCAAGCTGTAGCTCGCGGTATACAGAGCTTTGGGTGACGGGAGGACGCTAGTTTGTGTCCTCCCGTGACCCTTAGGAGAACTATGGGGAAAAACACTTACCCCATAGTTCTCCTTTAAGTAAACTGGTGAAAAAGGAGGTTGTTGTCCACAGCAATAAAGGCATATGAGTGGGTGACAGTTGCAGTTTTGGAAGTCATGGATACTGTAAACTGATGTACACTCATCCTATCTGGGGTGTGGATAACAGGGTGAATAGGCCAGTGCACAGGTTTACAAGACATGAGCAAAGAGGATAATATTCTCAAATGTTTAGATGACATGGCGGAGATGTGTCTGCCTTCATATTAGGGCCTGACAGCCATTAATTTTTAAGAGTCCCTGTGTGGCAGTAGCTGCTTTATATTGTTATTTTGGCCATACTGTGATGTACAGTACTGTGCAAAAGTTTGAGGCGGGTGTGGAAAAATACTGTAAGGTAAGAATGTTTTCAGAAATAAAAGTGTTAATAGTTTATTTTTATCAATTAACAAAAAGGAAAGTAAATGAACAGAAGAGAAATCAAATCAATATTTGGTGTGACCGCCCTTTGCCTTCAAAACAGCATTAATTCTTCTAGGTACTCTTGCACACAGTTTTTGAAGGAACTCGGCAGGTAGGTTGTTCCAAATATCTTGGATAACTAACCACAGATCATCTGTGGATGTAGGCAGTCTCAACTCCTTCTGTCTCATCATGTAATCCCAGACAGACTCGATGATGTTGAAATCAGGGCTCTGTGGGGGCCAAACCATCACTTCCACGACTCCTTGTTCTTCTTTACACTGAAGATAGTCCTTAATGATATTGGCTGAAGGTTTGGGGTTGTTGTCCTGCTGCAGAATAAATTCAGGGCCAATCACGCCTCCCTGATGGTATGGCATGATGGATAAGTATCTGCTTGTATTTCTCAGCGTTGAGGACACCATTGATCCTGACCAAATCTCTGACTCCATTTGCAGAAATGCAGCCCCAGACTTGCAAGCAACCTCCACCATGCTTCACTGTTGCCCGCAGACACTCATTTTTGTACCGCTCTCCAGCCCTTTGGCGAATAAACTGCCTCTAGCTAAAACCAAATATTTCAAATTTTGAATGTCGAAGGGAAGTAAGCATGATGTGGCTTTCATCTGCTGCATTAAGTTTCCTTGGATGACCCCTGCATCTACGGTCCTCAACATTGCCCATTTCTTTGTGCTTCTTCAAAAGAGCTTGAATAGCACAATAGCACGATTCTCAGCGGGTTAGTGGCCTGCTTGTTTGACAACTGACGAACAGGCCGGTGCACACTGCCCGTTCTCGGAAGCCCGCCCCTCGTTGCAGTCATCAGAAGCCCGCCCCTCAGGGGCGCGGCCTTGCGATGATCGCAAATACGATCTGCCTGTCCAAGATGGGCAGATCGT